TGTAAACAACCTTAAACAACCTTTACTTTGTCTCTGCACTTCTGCTTACTCAGTCATGGGCTTCTCCAACAAAGCCCTCAGGGTCAGAACCACAGTTCTGCATTTGCACAGTTTTGCAGTATTGAAATACAAAAGAAAAAACTTTCTGGTTTACAGCTTTAGTTTGCATTAATGAGAAAAGAGTTTGATCACATTAACACTGCGAGCAACTTACTTACCACCCAAGTTTAGCAATATTTCTCAGCAGTCTGGTACCCAGCTTACATCTGCCAGTCTCATACTGTTGTCTTTCAGCATTCCTTCAGGATCACTGGAATTAAAAGTGACTGGGAATTTTTTTAAAAAAAAACATAATTTTGGCAGCAGTCCTTGAAAACAGACCTTAATGTATGAGGCCATTCTAAAGCTCTCTCAGAAAGCAATTTCTAGACAGAGACCCTCTATGCCCACTCCAGGCACTTTTCTGGGAAGAGCTTTCACCCAGGATTTGAAGCCAATCCCTACCCTGCTCTATCTCAGGCTCCCTCTTCCCACACAGTGTTTGATTACCTGCTATGCTGTGGTGAATCCCACCTTGCCTGGCGTGTTAGAGTTGTTAATTTTCATAGAAATAAGTCATCATTTCAGCAGAGATTTCCTTCCTAATCCTTCAGATCCCTCAGCAGGTGTCCTCACTACCAAGTTTCAGTTGTGCATTCCCCCCAGCCTGAAGAGCAGCCTGTGGACAGCAGAAAGCTGTGCTGGGAGAGAGACAGATTTACAGTAGATTAGCTGGTAGACTTGGAAGCAGGGCAGGAGCGTGCAGTGGGGATTTGGGACACTAAGGATTCAGCCATGTGATATAAGGAAGAGGCTGTGAAATAGGTCTGTCCTGACAACAGTTAGCCAGTTTGGTCTTTCTCTTCCACCCCTTTCTCCCTACCTTCATTTGGGGCAAAATCATTCAATAACAGCTTGATTTTACTCCCTGGGGAACATGAAAATCTTAGCTTAGAAAACTCTTCACAGACCAGCTCCTAGTGTGCTGTCAGGGCAGAAGGCTTTCTGCTTTTGTCAGTCCACTGCCTCCCAGGTAGGATTTGTTCAGTTCTGCTGAGCCACCCGAACCACTGGTTTTAAACACTGGTACAAATAGTACAAACACATCTGCAGTGCTCCAGTAGGAATAAGGACTATCAGAAACAAACACTCCCTAGGGGTACCTGAAAGGGTCTTATTCCTGAAAAGCTGTCTTTGCTTAAGGCTTGGTAAAGTGCATTTCTTATCCTTGAAGAATTCTCTCCCCCCAAACTCTGGCTTTAATCCTTCAGTGTGTTCACTAGGTCAGTCTGGATTAGAATGCTACAAATTCCTGTGGACCTGCTTATTGGATGGAGATGAGGCCTCACTGTGTGGCCAGTTCATTCTAAACACTGCACTTCCTTATGGGGCACACAAGCTTTATATAATCCTTCTGCTTTGGGTAATAGCACCGAATACCATCTAAAGAATGGCTACTGGGAAGGGAGTTTTAAGTGGGTAGCAATTATCCTAATTGAAATCTGTGCGGGGAGAATGAATTTAAACACCCTTATGAAGCTTATTTGATGGGGCTCCCAAGTAGGCAATATGCACTTTTCTGTTCTCTTCCTTTCATTCAGTAGGAAGAAACTTGTATTTGTTTCCTTTCAGCCTGAGAAGAGGGAAGACAAAAGGCTATGGGGGCAGAAAACAATCATCAGAACTTTGCATTTATAGAAGACAGAAATTTTTGTAATTGTGGCAGTGAAGCTAAATTACAGTAATTTGAAAAAAACTGAGAGGAAGATCTAGATTTCAGGCAAGAAATAATGAAAAATTATATAAAGTCTGTTCAGATTGTTTTCATGATGTCAGTGGAAAATCTGAATGTCAGGCTCCCAGACTAAGTTTCCATTGAAATACAAGCTATTCACATTTGGCAATATGATGATTATTCTTCACAAAACAGTTGCACTCACTTGAAAATACATAAACAGTAACGAAAGAATAGAAGGTAAAAAGATTTTTTTTGACCTTTAAATGTACTAAATTACGAAGCTGTTGAATTGTGTTGCCTACAGCAACAGGATACAATATGTTTGGCAGAAGTTAGTTTAGACTTTCTGACCAGAATACTCAGCCTTTCTTTCTCTGGGAAAACATCAAGAAAAACAAAATGCCACAAAAGAGAGATTGCCTCATTCCAGACAGCATAGGACTAAGAGTCAGAAACTCCAGTCCCAGCACAGCACAGATCTCCTCTGGCCTAGTGCAGAACATTGTTAAAATATGTGTAGAAATGTGCTGACTCTTCTGCATTGTTTTCACAATGCTTCATAAACAGCTAATATATCCTTACTAGTGTGCAAATCCTCTGCATACTTCAGTGCATCAGTGTCTAAAGGCATAATTTCAGCAGAAGCTGAAAAAGGTTGAATGATATAAACTTATCAAGTGCTCCCCATTCACCAGGTTATGTGAGTTAATAAAGTCAAAATTAGATTCTAAACCCTTTAGCACCAGAATGCTAAAGTACTGTCTGGATGTGTGGAGACTCGTAATGAACTCTTAAACAACCAACCAGTACTTGGCAGTTAGATTAAATGCATGAAAAATTATAGCAAGACTGCATGTACCATCTTTCCTCAGAGGCCTGAATTGTCAGCTGGCTGAAAGCCCTTTGGGAAAGCATTTGAAGCACTGCTTGTCTCCACATTTTCCCAGTTGTTCATAAACTCAAGAATAATAATGTCACATAGGCATTTGCTGTGCAGACAAAACTACTTTGCCTTTCCTCAGGTGTTATCCATACATTCATAGCAGGGACTTTTCTGAAAAAGATTGATTCAGCTTTACAATGCCTTGAAAGTTTACACAAGTAGCAGTAACTTTAACTCTTGTGGCAACACAGAGGAAGATAAAACAGCCAATCCAAGGCCAGATTAGAAAAAAATGAGACTCACAGCTAAGTCCCCTGGCTCAGGGTCACAAAGTTTACTCTCATTCCAGCCCTGGAGAATAGCAGGCTAATGGATGTGCTGTCTTTGTACAAAAGGGTGGAGTTTTTGTGATAATGTTTAGGACTTAATTTTCAATACAAAGCAAAGCAGTATCAGTTTATCCAAGCTAAAACTGTAATGAGAAGCTCTGTAATTAGGCTTAGTAGGATTCATCTTGATTAGAAAAATGTTCTATCCAGCAGTTTTCCACCTCACAAGTATTTCAATGTTTGTCATCTCTTATTTTTGCATCTGTAGGAAATGATGTCTTGTTAATTACTCATAATGTAGTGAAATGTAAGAAGAGTTAAATAGTCAAACTTGATACTTCTTTAATCCACTGAGTGTGAATCTCACTAGGGTATGTGCTTTTGTTAAAACTTAGACCATTTAAAGGTGCTTACTTTCACATTCTTATTTTTCTTCTCAATAAACAAAACATCAGTTTTTAGCAAAGGAATGTTGGTTTGGAATCAGAGAAGCAGTTGCAATCAGTAGTTTACATCACATTTCCATACAGCTTCCTCTAACAGTGCTATGAAAACTTTGTACAGTTTTTACAAAACACTGAAAAAGATCTCAGTTCAATCTGGTTACTTGGATTTACCTTAAAAATGGATGTTACCAATTGTTCTAATCCTTATTTTTTCACATCAGGGAATTCTAGGAGCAATTATTTTTTAGCAGAGGTTGGAAAAATGTACCAGAAGGATTGATAAATAGCATTAAAGATCCTTATTATAACCTTTGGTGAAATGGCTGGAGTCAGCTGCATGAGAATAAAGAACAGGATGTATTGGTTTGGGCTCCATCACATGGGCATTTTATGATTTTAGAAAAACTGAAAAATTTACTATCATATGATAGTAAGGGGATACTGAATCCCCTAACTTGACATCTGTTGGCATAATAGCAGATCCCTAAGTCTGAGCCAGTTTTCATGGTTTCTTTTAAAGCCATTGGAATGACTTAGGTATTTCATCTCCACAGCAGATTCCCACATTTTGTGTCCGCTTCTCTCTTTGAAAATGTCTTTTTAAATCTCTGTAATCTGAAACAGAGGTACTCCCATTCAAATGCTGATTGTTTGATTATGGTGTACATCAGGGGAAAACTGCTGAGCTGCATTATCAAGTTATGATTTGGTCTTATGAAACCTGCCAAAATGAGTAAGATTAGATGCATAAGAAAATAACTCAGTGCTTTAGAAAGACTCATCAGTAGTTTGACAGGTTTGGACATGAAATTTTAATATGTTTTCTTTTAAACTCTGTCTTCTCAAAACCAGATGTACTGATACATGTTATTCATTCCTTCCTATAATGTTGTCCCTCCAGTTTTCTGTTTATTCCCTTGCTGAATTTTTCATTTCCCTGCTATTTTCCACTTCAAATTCTAGCTTTCAAAGAGAAGGCTCCCTTTATTATGGTGTTTCTAAAGCACAGAAGAGGTTGCAGTGCTAACCTGTGTATTTGGAACCTCAGTATAAGCTTTAAATAATAAGAGTGGCTGCCTTGTAATAAGTGGTTATGGGAAACTTGACTGTATGCAAGTTTTATTGCATACTTAATGAATCTCATGAATCCACATTAAAGCTAAAATTACTGTTGCATTTTCTAAAGCTGTCATAACACGACTGTCTCCTAGGTAGTGGTAGTTTTAAATTGGTTGAATTACACACTTAATTTTCATATCAAATATTTTCCAGCTAAGAATATGAAAGCAATTACCTATTTTGGTACAGATCTTTTTTCCCTCTGGGTGCATGACCATCACCATGCCTCTTGCTCTTGGCAGACTGCCTTTACAGTCTGCTGCTGTCACTAAATTTATTTTCACACCTAAGAAGACAGAAATAAAGAAGGACAAACTTTGAAAAATACTATGTTAAAAAAAAAAAAGAAAACCAAAAGTGTCCTTTTCTCTCTTTTTAGAAGGTACCTTCTCTGGAAAGTAGTTTTCAGAATAATTGCCTCCTGAAGGAGTTCTGCTAAGAACAACCCATACTGCCAGTTTATGAAGGTGCTGGAATGTTATACAGAGATATTAACAATAAAAAAATTCCAGTAGTTGAAAAACATTGATACTTCAAAAATTAAGTGAACTCATCTAGGAAGGAAAAAATCAGCATGTACTCCGTAGGTTGTTTCTACCTGTGGCCAACCTCTGGGGAGGCAGGTGGGCTCTGCTCTTACGTGTGGTACCTCTTATGTGTGGTAGCATTCATGTGGGATTCAAGTGCAAAGATCTGAGGCACTGTAAAAAGTGGATCCCTCTGAGTATTTGATTCAGTCAGTCTGAAAAAGAAGTCTCAGCATTCCTGCAGGACAGGGAGCAGGGCTGAGTTAGCCTACAGAGGCTGTCTCTCCCTGTTTGGAGAAATCTCATTAAATGGTCTCATATCAATGCTAAGCAATAAGGGAGGAAAGCTTTTCCCCAAAAATACACTACCTAGTTCATCCTGCTGCTCCCATCCACTCTTGCTGTCTAACAGATCCTTGAAGGCAGCCCCAAGCATGCTGGCAGGATCTCATAGTGCTGAAGCAACAGCCTGTGGTAAGGCCTGCTCAGAGAATGCCAAAGTATCCATTGTAACAGAGAATTATGTCTGGCAGTGGTCTGCAGTAATTCTGAATGCCAGCACTCTTCAGTGCTAGAGGGACCTGACTGTAGCTGGACTGCCACCAAGTGAGTCACGGGTTTGCAGGGTCACAGTTTCATGTGTCCAGAGGCAGGAAAGTTAGAGATCTGCTGGCCTTAGGAAGTGTTTTCTGGGCTCCATCCATTCATTGCAGTTCAGAATAATTATCTCTCACCTGTGTCAGTAATCCGAATCCATCAACAACAACCATATAATCAACTAAGCCATGAAAGTCAAGTAAAGACCAGTCAAGTGAAGCTAGAGAGATATTTAATGTTAAACTAATGATCTTTCCATAGCTCTATTGAAGTTTTTAGTGGAGAAATAATGTCAAAAATTTTCATGTAGAAAAACTAAAAAGAGCTGAAGTCCCATCTGAAAGGTGCAGGACAATTGGGCCTGGTCAGTAGAACTACTTCTGCACAGAGGGAAGGAAGAAAAATTGACATCCAGGCCTTCATGATCCTGTTGAAGTAATGAAGCAGGCTCATATTAGCTAGGAAAAAATATTCAGAAGGTCCAAGAAACAAGATATTAATGTGCTAATGACACTGGCAGGCTCTGAAAGGAAAGGTCTCAGGTCAGACTTTGCAAGAGAAGCATTAAGGGTAACTGTTAACATTGGTGACTGCTTGAAAACAAAAGAAATAGACTTTTAACAGCTCCAAACAAATCATACTTGCTCTGCAACCAAGATAAGAGAATGACTGAACAAAATCAGCTGTACTGTATCTTGAGCATATCTCCATGGAAACTCAGTCATCTTCTGAAGTCAAAATGTGTTCTGCATGATGATTCAAAATTTAAGTAGTGGGATAGATTTTCCCCATGTGTATATGCCAAATCCCACTACAGAATAGAGGTCAGACCATCCATAAAAATAGGATTTTTCTGGGACAATATTTGGGGAAACAAAAAAGAGAAGCAAGAACAAGTAGGAAGAGATTCGGAGGAATGTTGTTATCTCCTAGAATGAGACCCTTTGTCAATGACCCTTTGTCATTGGTCTTGGGTAATTTAGGCAAAATTTTTGAGGATGTTGTAGCTCCTGTTGGAGCTGGAAGCTCCTTGTGCAGTGGCATGCTTGGAGCCAGGACTGAGCAGCTCTGTGGGGGAAGGGACCAGAGCATTAAATAAAGCTACTTGTTGACTGCCTGTAGAATTGGCTTCTAAAGGAAGTGCTATGGAGCACCATCCATTACCAAGTGACAGAGAGCCTTTTACAGCTACTTTAGACAAAATCATAATTAAACTCTGCGTGTTCCTGTTCAGCATGGTTGGTTGTGGGTTATTTAGTTCAATATTTACAAAAGGACAGCCCTCTCCTGTGCCACCTTAACCCTCTGTTGTTTTCCTCTTTTCTTCCAGATGCTGGAGAGCTCTTCAGTCCCTTTGTTCATTGTCTTCATCCTCGTTTTCATTTTGCTGGTCATTGTGTTGCTCATCAGGAAAAATGCCACTGCTGCCCTTGTCTGGAATGAAATAATCCGGGAGAAAGTAACCAATTTCATCATGAATCAGAGCAAAGAGCAGAGGATTTTAAATTTTGTGCTGCAGAATGCAGTCAGAGGAGACCCCAGTAGTGTGCTGGACACTATAGATAAATACTGCTCCCAGAAAGAGTGGGCCATGAACGTGGGCGATGAGAAAGGTAATTGCAGCAGGGCTCAGCATCTGAAAAGATCCTTCAAGACTAGCACAGTACAGGATATCTGATTGTATTCACATGGCAACTTCCTTCTGCTGCTGCAAAAACCCCAACCCACAGAGCCTTGCGGTCAGCAGAGTAGCTCTGTGAACAGTTGTGCCTGCTTGTGCAGAAGTTTTTGAGGAGGGGTATCCAGTGACTCATCCAGAAAGTCACAGCACCAGATGTGGGTTTCTGTGTTGTGCACATTGCAAGTGTGTAAGCAGAGAGTGGCAACTTATGGGAAAAATCCAGGGTTGCATTATACCTCACTTTTTACATAGGGTGCCTTCAAGGCATAATTCATTATGTTAAATACTTTCAGATCCTTAACAATAAGATAGCAAATTGAAAAAACCCCAGAATTGTTTAACTATATGAATGTTGTGTATACAAGCATAAATTAGAAGTTTCTGTTGAAGGGAGAAATCCTGTCCATGTCATACAATATCAGACATTGTTACTATTTAGCAAGTAAATCATCTTGTTCTTGTCTCCTAAAGAAAAATATGGAAACAAAACCTCTTTTTCATAGCTGCAGGAAAGCAGCAATCTTTTCAAAAAACTATAGTGGCAAAATGTTAATATGTTCCCTTATGAATTAGAAACAAAAGTACCTCTTGCTGGGAAATTTCTGGGGAAATTTGCTTAGTCTGGGATTAACATAGCTAATGAAAAACAACTGTAAGCATTGTAATAAAAATGCTCTTCTGACATGTGTAGTTTTTTAAAGTAGCTCCTCAGCATACCTGGCTGGGGTGCTTAGGGGAGCAGAACTGTGGGTCATGGCTGAGTAGGAATACTTAAACTTCCACTACTTTTTGAGTTTAGTTATCAAGTTTCTAGCCATACAAATAAGAGGAAATTTCTCACAAATATATCTCACAAATAAATCCTTTCATTCAAAAGGACTGAATATAGTCACTGTCACTTCTTTTTGGGAACATTGTTAGCAATTGACTAATATTTTCCACCCCACAAATTCATGCAGTGAAACCAAATATTTTGCAGCTTTGTAAGTACACTTTTCTTTTTTCCTTTAAAGATGAGTATTTGGAATAAGAAATTTTGTATCAGACTACAGCAAGTAACATTAGCAGCAAATATGAGCACTCAAAATCCAGGAGTTACATATTTCACAAATATGGCCAGTTTCTGCAGTAAATTCTTGGAAAAAATGACTGCATTTCCCCCTTCTAACACTATAAATTAGTTGATTCAGGGAATTACATAAATTTTATTCAGGGAATATAAGTTAATTCAGGGAATTCATTATTCAGAAATGTGTATATTGTGAAACTGAGATTTCTTTTAGTTGAAAGTTTGCACCTGGAAACTTAAAATGTCCATGATTAACTTGATCACAAGCCAGTTTGCAAAGTATACAGAATATAATTTGACATGAACTCTTAATTTTTGAATGTCTTGAGCAACTGAGTACATGAATTTTTTAAGTTTCTTGTCACTAACTTGCTCTTCTGTATATGAACCAGCTTGATTTTGTCAGTAGGTAATCTTTTCCCATTTTAATCAGGTAAAATTCTGGACAAGACAGTGGAAGAGGCCAATCCATCAGTTGCCCTGGAGCTGGGAACGTACTGTGGCTACTCAGCAGTGAGGATTTCTCGGCTACTGAAGCCAGGAGCTCGTCTGCTCACTGTGGAGTTCAACCCAAAATTTGCTGCTATAGCTAAACAGATGATTGAGTTTGCTGGAGTACAAGATAAGGTAAATACCATTTTGTCTGTAACCACTACAGCAAAACTGGTTAGATTTTGTTTTGTTTTTTTCTTGTACCCATGGGCCTTTATAAATTTAACCAGCTCCATGCTTAGTTACAGTGCCTGACCTTTCACAGCAGGACTTCACTATGTTGCCTTACAAAAGCCAGAAGAATACTGGGTTTCTCAATATAAACTAAAAGGTTCAAATTGGTGTCAAGACTAACTACGAAAAAACCATAGTTCAATTTGTTACAAAAGCTCACAGGAATCAGTTGTATTATGTGCAGTGGACTTCAAATGAGACGTATTTACCCAAATCTAGCTGGTCACAGTACCCATACCTAAGTTTGGTGCAGTCAGAGGTGTCTTGACTCTCTATAGCTGGTTGAGATGCAGGCATTTCCAGTCTATATCCCCCCTCAGGTTGGGGGATTCGTACCTAAGAAGTGCCTGTCTTTTCAGTAGACATCTCACTTTAATGGAGCTGGAAACACTGGAAAGTGGACTGGAAATAAGTCTCACCAAGGGACCTTCTAATGTGTTTCTTAACTTCTTGAAGAGAACCTGAAGTACCAGTGACATCTAAAACTGCATTTCCCCATCTGACTTAATCTCCTGATCAGCTATGAGTCATAAAACAGACATTTCCTCACCATTTTTTCCTCCTCTCTCAGTATATGGTGTTTGCCTAACAAAAATCCACGTGCAGCAGCTGCTTTCAGTTTAACAGTAGTTACTCCAATAAACCTGTGAGGAAGATGTAACAGCCTCTGTCCTGTCTGTTCCCTCTCCTGGCCATATAAATTTTACATACTGTAGCCTCCATCTTTTTTCTAACCTAACCGGTTCTCTGCATTTTTTGCTTCCCTTGGACTACAAGACTCAACTGAGATGTAACTAAAAAAAAAAGTAATCAAAACCACTGTTTTCAACAGGAGATTTCTATGCTTCCAGTAAAGACACACATTATACAACAAAAAAAACTGGGTCACTTTTTCTGTTGTTAATTTAAAAAACCAACAAAATCCAAACCACTGAAATTCATATTTTGAAATTTAACTGAGTTGGTTTGTCAAAAATAAAAAGTACATTTGACCTAACCCTACCAAATAATTCAATTGACACAATATTGAGCTATAAACATGATCCCTGATGCCTGGCTACAATTCAGAATGAGCTGTGAGCATGTGACTTTTCTTAATGGTTTGCAATTCATCACATGGATTTGTATTCCAGGTAAAACTCCTTGAAGGCCCTTCAGAGGAAATTATCCCCCAGCTGAAAAAAAAATATGAAGTGGATACTCTGGATTTTGTCTTCCTGGACCACTGGAAAGACAGATACACACCAGACACCATCCTGCTTCAGGTCAGTTTGCACAATTCCAGTCTTAAAAGTAAAGCAGCAAATATCTTCATGTCTGTGAGGCTTCTATTTATGAGTGACCTCATGTGATGTAAAATGAAGTCTGGCAGCCTTACAAGAAAAGAGAATTTGAAGGACAGACCCTAAACTTTTGTTAAGGACAAGTGCCAACACTACATAGCTCAGGACTCATTGAGTACTGCTGAACCATTCTGTTTCCTGAACATACAAGTGTGCAGTAGAAATCCTACCTGGAGGAGTAGGCCTGAGTCTTACACTCCCAGGAGTGTGTGCATCGTCACCAACCAGAACACTTGACCAAAGCCCATCCTGCTCCTGGGAGCAGGTGAGACTTGAGACCTGCATATCCCAGCTCCACACCTCTCTGATTTCCTCAGTACCCTTTTTTTTTTGCCTCGGTCTATGGTGCCAGCAGAGCCATTTTGGTAGCATGGCTATGGTAGCACAGAGTATGACTTGTCTTGGAGTCCTTGCACTGCACCTAATTAATTGGCTGCAAAGAAATGTTAAGAAGAGTGCAGACTGGCCCAGCCAGGAATTTCCTAGGGAAATTCTATGTCCAGCCCCAAATGTGTAAAAATTATGCTTATTTTTTCTCAAGCTGCCTTAACCATTGCTGTGGGTATTGCAAAATAAGTTGGCTGTAACAGCAGTAGGCAGTGGCAAAGGACTTCTGGATAGGAAGGTATTTTCAGGTGTTAAATAACTGAGATTGACAACATCCGTGCCTATAAACACAGCACATACACTCTCCTAGCATACTTCTACGGAAGTATCATTTTTCAATTATTTTCTTCACAAATAAATCTACTTTTTTTGAGCCTGCCTCTTAAATTGAGAACCTGCCAAATACTTCCTGACCCCTGCCTGAGGACTACAACACTATTTTCTGACCCAGCCTCCCTGGTTTTTTAGTTTTAAGCCCTGGCCTCCAGAAAGCGGTTTGAAAAGGAAATTTGTTTGGGGTTATGAACAGCTAGTATTGAATTTACACAGCAGTAGCTGAAGAAAATATTCCCTCAGTACAGTTATTTTGTATTCAGAGAATGCTTTCTTTTAAACTGCCTGTGTAAGGATGACTGAGCTCTTTCCACAGTACATCCTTATCAGAACTTAACCTCCCAATACAGCCAAAACAAACAGACGGTTTAGTTCCATGGCAGTGGTCAGTTTGATGCAACTGTGATACAAAGTTGCAAAAAAACTCCCATGAAATTAAGAGGCAAAAGACAAAGAAAAGATCCTCAGATTTCCTCAGATGTCACAAACCTTCTAAAATGTATTCTCAGCAGATATTGCAGTATGAATAGTGAATATGAAGTATGAATTTATTCAGATGAAATATGTATATATTGGAAGTGGTCCAGACAAAAAAGCCAGACTTGAAGAGCATCTGAAATCCTGATGACCAGTGGAAAATCCAGTATGTTGTCTCTTTTAAGCTTCTGTAAGCTGTGCAATAGAAACAGACTGGAGGGTATTTGACCTGTCTTTAAAATCACTTCTACTGTGCTGACTGGTGTTCAGTCCCCAGAGGCAAGAGCAAAAAGCACAACGGCTTCTGCAGGACACTCATCAGCAGAACTGCTCTCACAGACTGGGAGTGACCAAAAACACCCCATGTTTGGCTACAGCTACTGCCTGTAACCACAGGATAACAACAAGCTGATTTAGCTACAGACTTTGTTTTAAAACAGCTGGTAAGCCCAGATAAGCAACCAGTAAAAATTAGTTTTTTAGGTTTACTGAAGATAAACATTGCACTTGAAGTGACTATTTCTAGTTAGTTATGTCTTATGGAAATTTGTCAGAGGGATCTTCATTGTGGGAAAACCTTGCTTCATGCCCAGATCCCAAACAAAATGGCAGGAAGTTGTTCAAGATGAAAGGAAAACAAGCACAGAAAATCTTTCATTCTTTTAGCAGTTTTGGAGTCTGACTGAGACTGGCCAAAGCAGTACATGCTACTCTCAGGTGACCTAAAGAGCTACTACAACAGTTTAATGCCATATTAAAAAAAAATTTAAACATGAGGCATGACAGCCAAAACAAAGCCACCTTACTGATCATACAGACATAGCTGGAAAGAAGCTGAGGAGCAAAGTACACACTTCCACTTGATTGGCTGTTTCAGAATCAGCATCTCTAATGTTGTACTTAAAGAGAAAAACTTAGCAAATGAGCACAAAGGACCCGAGAGTTACTCAGCTTCTCCCATGTCTCTCTCACCTTCCAGACCTGTACCACAATGGGTTTTTGGATGCAGGCATGCGAGTATACCTGGTTAACATGAAAGTACATTACATTCAAGCCAATGTCTGCCTAACAGCCACTATGAAGCCATTTCTCTTCTTTTTAGGAATGCAACTTGCTGAGGAAGGGCTCAGTTCTTCTGGCTGACAATATAATTTTCCCAGGAGCTCCAGATTTCCTTAACTATGTCCGCAAGAGCCCCCATTTCCAATGCACTAACTACCCATCTCATCTGGAATATATGCAAGTGGAAGATGCCATGGAGAAGGCTGTGTTTTTGGGATAAAGAGTCATTAACAATCAACTTTTGTTTCAAATGATGTAAATGCAACTGCACAGGTTAACTTGTCTATGCTTTACCAGTTTTTTTATTACTATTATTTTTTTATTTTGGAGCTTGTAATTAAACAAGCATTAGTGATCTTTTTAGGCAAGGTAGAAACCAAAATATGGTCTGTGCCATGGTTCCACATTGATTTGGCAAACCCAAGGTGATGCAGATTGCCTTGCCTTGACCAACACATCATCAAACAACAGTCTGGCATTTTGAACTCAACTTGAACAACCACAGTTTAGGTTTAGGGTGGAGAAATACGCTGCAACTTCTGAAGACTTGTGTCCCCAAGCTAAACTCATTAATCATTAGCAAGAGTGGAAAAAAACATCCATGTTGCAAAAAAAGACCATTTCATGTGCCCTATTTTTGCTAAATTACTAGCATGCCTCTTGATGCAGTGAAAGCTCCTGTTGTGAGATCAGATACTTCTTTGCACATTTAGTGCAAAAGTTAATCATCTCTATGTGAGAGAAGAGAGCACACACTGAAAGAAGGCAGACCCATGCAGTGATGAGAACAACAAAACAGAATTTTGAAAACACAAACAAATAAAATTATTAATCTGCCCATGCAGAGGCAGGGAAAACTGAAGTAGTAAACAGATTAAAATAAATACAGTAACAGGTAACAAAAGGAGCAGACTCTTTCCAAAAGAATACAAAACTACATAATATTTGACCTTGATGAAACGCTGGTTTTCCCTCATTATACTGTACATACATAGTACGTGCTTTTAGGGGCAGGGCAAGCTGCTTACTCTGAAATGCTGGGTATGTTTAAGATGCTGTACAGAAATAAAGTCCAGAGAGAATGGGTTTTAGCAGGTGGTTCCTGCATGCTCTGGTTAACCTCAGTGCTGTTACACCATGTGAATAGTGTGGGTTGTCATTGAGAAGATTCAAAGCCAAATATGAAGTCTCTAACTCACCTGAACAATGCAGAAATTCCGTGGCAGTTCCTAGCATGTCCTGCTGTGATTATATAAGGCAGCAACAGTCACATTTCTAAATAAAAAGTAAGAAACAACAGAGCAGGGGCATGACATTCATTTTTCCGATGAATTCTGTACTGCATGTGAGGCTTCCAGATGTGAAACAGACACAGAAAGATCCAATAGTTAAAAATCAGAGTGAAAATCAAGGACAACCATTCTTGTCTTTCCCAGTATGAATTTTTTCAAGCCTGTTATGAGTTTCTTCCTTGTATAGCCCACCTTACTGCAGTGGTCCCTGCTCTGGCCTGTATGCTGCAGAATAATCCACCTCCGGGACACTAGTAAGGAACAGAGGATCACCAAAAGAAAACTAGAACAGGCTAAGAGTCAGTTTAGAAATGGACCAAGCAAGCCACGGTGACCCAGCCAGTTTGTAAAGCGTGCATTTCAAAGGGACAGGAGAAGGCAACATATCAGAGTTTTCCTGACAAGGTAACTCTGTCATATATAATGAAAGACACAAGAGTTCCTGTACTGGGTTAGATTATGCAGAAGCAGCATCAGGTGACTCTGCTGTGCTGTTCTGTGTAGAGCCAACACTGAGTTCTAACACCTCCATCTTGTACTGTAAGTCAGTGATTAGTTCTGTAACATTGCTGAGCAGCACATCCTCTTGGTATTCAGCACAACTCCAAGTCATTGGACCAAAGTCCTTCAGGTGGTTGGAAACAATTTTTGCAAAATTTGCAATGCAAAATAATCTTCAACTACATTTACTGGCATATACAAGTTTCTAGGGAAAACTGGAAAATCTGGATACCTATGGTGGACCAGAAAATTTGTCTGTACATCTAATGTCTTGACTCCAAAGAATCCTCGCTTGTGTTTAGCCCTGAACACCTTTGCACCCAACAGACAGTCCTGTCACAGCAGGGCACATCCCCCAGGCTGATGAGCAAACCAGTCTCAGAAGGATGAGTAAGAGTAAACAGGTAGAGTCTTCTGCATTTTCCAAGAGCGGATCAGAATAATGGCCAAAATTACTGTTCAAGAGACTGTCAAGAAGATTAGAAAAGGTGGGAACCTGTTCGGTGGCTATTTCAAAAGATGAAGTAGTGAATAATGTATTTGTAATACATATGGCAAATGTAACAGCCACCTTTTAGTAAAAAAAAGTATTTTAATTAATTAGAAAGCATCTTCTACATGGCAAATTGTAAAAATAAACACAATGTATGTTCTAACAGAATATCTGCAGAATTCCATATGTAAGAAAAATTTTTCCACTTCACTACATTTTTGAAATGTTCTTAATTATTGGTGGCAAGGGATGAAAAGAAAAAAAGCCTGACTCAGTTTGCATGACTGACAATTAGAAAAAAGGCTTTTGGTCAGTTGAGCAAATATGATCTGCAGTCACTGACACATAAATGTGAAATCTCCCAGGGAAAGGAGGCACTTTTCAAAATAAAGTCACACTTTGAATTCTGGGAGAAGGAAAAGGCAGACAGTGGATCTTCTAATTCAAACATATTTTAAAAACCTACTGAGTGTTACTGCAACATCAGCCTATTACAGTTAGAAGACACAACCTATGCTTGCAAAAACTGTGTATGGAATGGTGCATGTGGAGCATGTGTTTAAGGAGTGCCCATGAGAGTGCACCATGATAGAAAGCTCCCAAGAGGAAGAACTTCCCTAAAACAACATACATAGATCTCTGCAAATTCTCACAGCTCACATCTGAAACACATAATAGCACCAAATACTGGTAATTTACACCTATCCTCCAGATGACAGTTTCTGTCCAGGCTGTCTTAGTGATTCAGGCAGTACATGAGAGTGACATCTGGTTTCTGCCAGAGTCTCTGTTACCTCAAAGGGACACGATACCGTCTTTCAAAATATTGAACCAATTTGTGTACAAGAAAGAAGGAGGATTTAAGACATAATCAAACCTGGCACTACTGACTTTTGCATAACAGCATCCATGGAAGCAATCCTTCCATCAGAATTTACTTGTCTGAGTACAGAGCAGGGTACAGGAGCCACTGCCTCCTCCCACTGGCATGAGGAAGTGAAAAGCCCACTGGAGAATTCTGAGCAATGAGTCAAACACTAAATGCAGTGAAGGGAACATACAGAAACCCCTACAAGAGCAACAAGAAGAGAGAGACCACTGAGATCCCAACTCTCCCATCCAAGGTGACACCAGCAGGGTAGTGATGTGTCCTTACTTGGCTGAGCAGTCAATCAGGAATCAGTTATAAGGTACCTTACAAGTAACAGCTGTGATTGCTGTGCACACACACACGTTGAACAGAGTACCAGACTTTCAGTCTTTGCCTCTGTCTCTACAGCTCAGTTAATGACATTATAAAGCACCTTCCTGTTTCAAAAGATCCCTCATCAGCTTGTACCACAACAAGATCTTGCCACTGCTGTGCTTCAGAGACCGTCAAAGAAAAACACTGGGGAAGAGACCCTTGAGGACAGAGTATTACCCCAAGACACTGCTGAAACCTGAAACAGATGAGGGCTGGTATTTCTTGCCCACTGTTACCAGATTAATCTTTCACCTGCAGGACTTACCACTTCTGTTTGCCCAACCTGTGATAAGCTGGAAATTAAATCATTTTGACAGCTATAAAACGTCAGTTTTAAAAACAAAGTATTTGTTTTAGCTAGTACCTTACCTACAGCATCTGCTATTCATTGCCATATTAGTGCACCCACAACGGGAAAGTAAGATTCCTTACTGCGGTGGAACAATGACGACACCAAGCTGCAGGATGCTAAGTCCAGGAGCCCCCATCTTATCACAGCACTTGTGAAACTGTATCCTCCAGCTGCAAGAACAGATCCAGAGATGATTTTACAAAACACCTGGGGATGCATTTAAAACATCTGAAATAAGGAGGGCAGGTAAGCCGGAGATGACCTTCCAAGCTCTGTTTGCAAACATTTGCATGTAAATGAAACCTTACAGTGCTGTGAATGGTACAGTCAGGAATTCTCATATGGCAAACTCTGTTACTGGCAATGATTCATCAGCCTTTCACTCAGAAAACCTGACCTCCATTCTCTAAGACCTCACAGAACATTCTGTGGAGATTTATTAAGTTTTGTCAGGCTTCATGAAGACATGGTGGTGAATATGGTGTGTTTAGGTGTGCCAGTCACTGATCTCACAAACACAGATGAGGCAGTCTTCAAGACAATGAGTATCTGGTGGTAACTGGCTGTTACCTTCAATCCATGGGTGACTCTTCATTATCAGGATTTTCTTCCATTCCACAGTACCAAATGTAAATTATTTGGCACATCCTCAAAGCAACAATTTCTCATGTCAACCAAACCTCATACATCGCTACAATTTAGTTTTCTTTAGAAAAGATTTAGAAATGTGCAATCTTTGTAAAGTTACGTAGATTTTATGACTTGAGAAATGTTAGTAACTTTCCAAATGGAAAAGCTATCAGCAAGTTCTGTGCTCACAGACTTGCTGGCCCTTGAACAGTGATGCAGATATCTTTTCCACAGAAATATGCTTGTATATTAAAAAAGAAAAAAACTCTATGATCTACAGTCCAGGGTTGTGCTAGAACTCCAGCATATGGCAATGAGTCAAAAATGTTCAGCTTTACTCATTTATAAGATATTTCAATTGCCTCTCATTACCACTGACCTTTTACTAACACAGAACATTGACCTGAACTGGGGTTGAATAATCCCCTGCCACAGAAAACTGCTGCTGCAAAAGCCAAAGAATATTTGAGATACCTGATGTAACAAAAAGATAACCAATGGCACATATATTCTTTCCAGGCATGGTTTATTGAAAACACACCAAACTGTTATCCTACATACCTGGTTTCTAACAAGCATTCTACTTGTCTGCATTATGGAAAGATCCTATCATAGTAATAATACATTCTGTCACGGTAATATTTGTTCTATGAAAAGCATAATCCACCTTTTTTCCCTCTCCATACTTGTAAAATCAAACCATTCTAAGTGTTTCAGTTTATAGTACAGTGTAAATACAATGCAAAATCCCACCAGTCTAATCTACAGAGAGAATGTTGAGCAGTTATTACAGAAAACACATTGTTGATTTTTTTAAATTCTCCTACCATGAAAATTTTAAGGCACATGATAGTTACAAACACATTAGCTACTAATTACCAGTAAGCTTCTTAGTCTAGTTATTTTGTTTTTTTCTGAACAGTAAGAACCAGATTGGCAGGCCTTGTAGTATCTGCACTATCTTCCTCCTCACCTTGGACTTCAGATCATCCTAATCTGATGTCAAACTTAAAACAAAGGCTCATAATATCTTCCCCTTAAATGCACTAGGTTAGTTACTGTATCAGTAAATCAGAGATTTTCTCTGTCAAAGATAAGGAAACACCAGATTTTAGGGGCATCATAAGGAAATTTTGCAAGAAACTACACCTATATAAACACTTTCAAAAACTCCACCCCAACAGCACAAACCTGCTGGCTGAAGATATTGGCACACTGTAGGTTTCACTGAGCCAGCAGTCGCTCAGCAGATGAGGCTATAACCACTCCTATGTGCCCATTTGGCTTCTGAAGCTTTGCTTACTCGAGGGTTTGACATGTGCACCTCCCTCACAGGTAGCTGAGCCTATGCTCAACCTTAAGGCAGGTAACAGAAGGTAACTCACTACCTTCAGTCTCATGGAACTGCTCTAGGAGTGACAACTGCTTTGCCTAGCATAAGGCTTTCCTGCTGGAAAGCATTACTGAAACTTCTCCTCAGAGCTGGCACACACTTAGGAAACTGCTGTAACAGACATGCCACCCCTGGCTTTTGTCATGTGTCCCTGACAGCATGTCAGTTCCTAGTCCCCAGGGGCATCTTGGCAACAGAGACCAGATTTGCTTTCCTGATAGAAGCACATTGAGAACCAGAAGGTCTGAGCATGTGAGAACACATCTGGGATAGGCAGCAGTTATGCCAGAACAGAAGACACTGAAGACTGGGACCTATGGCTGCCCAAGCTGTTCCCTAGGGAGCATTTCAAGCTGACAACACACCTTGAGTTGTATGTATGGCTATATTGCTACTTAAATCCACAACAGAACCAAAACGTCTTACAGCCTTGCCTTTTTGCTCTCCTCCTTGGATTCTGCAGACCTGCTGACTGACCTGGGAAGCCGTAAAGCACAACTGCTCTCACACTTACTTGATGCTTCTCCAGGGGAGTTGGCACACAGTGTTCTTTCAACTTGCACAGCTCAGTGAAATCGCCTGGGAGATATGTGAGCCACCTTCCTGGGAAGAAGGTTCTACAGTAATCACATGCTGTCAGAAGTCTTCCTCTCCCCCATGTTATCTCAGCCCTGACTGGGCCATCAAATTTCCTCCTCCTCTTTATCAGGAGTCTTGCAACACCCTCACTTCCTTCCACAACCATCCCTCCCACTACAATTTCTGCAGGTAGAAATCTCTTCTATCCCAGCCCCTTACAGGCATATTCCCTCCTATTTTCACAGTGGAGTAAACAGTAAAAGAGGAGGTCACATACCTGAGCCCTAAAGAGCACTGCCTGCCTTTTAGCAGGAGACTCTAGACCCTACTGCAGCATTAGTCAACACACACTGCCGCTTTCCCTTCTTTACATACAGTCCCTGCTGCCAAAATACAACAATGACGGGTTCATACACCCACATTCCAGAACAGCTCAAACAGCCAGTCACACTTGTGCCAGCAAGGGGAGAGGAGAGGGCAGGGGTGGGTACACATCCCACCAGTGAGCCCCTGGCCATAGACAAAAAGGACATTAAATCACCAGACCTGGTTCAAGGCACCCTGCTTTGGACCTCAGCAAGTGGGCTGAGAATACAAGGTGATAGTCTCATGTGCAAATCATCCCTCAATCTGTTTTCTTTCCTCAGTATCCAAATAACAGTTTGTTGAGAAGAAAAAACCCTACAGTAATGTTGAGGATGAGTTATTGCTACATACTTGGGAATTAGTTGTCAATGTAAGGCATGGGAAGGGTAGGGGTTTGAAGTGTGATTCCCAGTGGAAGCCTTGGCCCATCAACTTCTTGACACACCATCCTCTGATTTTCTGCAGCAATAAACCATGTTGTCAGCTCACAACTCTGCTGGCTGCTGTAACACCCCCAGGAAAACAAAGAACAGTTTGCTACGATGACCTGGGCAGCCAGTGCCATCTAACTTGATAGGGACAGTTCAGGGTGCAGTGTAAATACAAAAAAAGACTTTTGGGAGAAGTGAGATGGGGTCTGAATCTGCTTCTCAAATATCCTTAGTGTTTTCAGCCCATTAATGACACAGATGAATGCAGACTCCAAACCCAGACTCTGAGTGTCCCTGTAGTGTCCCAGTAAGAGCCATGGGATATCTAGGAAGTCATGATCATAACTGGCCCCAGTCACTTCACTTGCCCCTTCCTGCGGTTTTCTCTGTTAACTTCTTGCTGGCTTTGAAATATCTGCACAATAACTAAATCACAAAGTCTTAGCAGAGACTCCTTTCAACAGTCAGGTCTTTATTTTAAGTGAACTTTTTCTCAGACTCCTTTGGTAAATATATGGTTTGAAGTAGATCAGGGACAGACTGACAGCACGGCCCTTCTCTTACACTGTTCTAGTCAGCTACAAAGCAGGTTCCATTGCTAATTACTGAACGTTTTTAAAAAAATCCTTTCATATACAAAAAGAATACACCAAGTACATAACCAAAAGTGATATAAAACTCTTCTGTGTAGCTTGGTTAAAAGGGTCTCCGCGTATTGGCAGAACAAGTATGAAAAGAGCACCATTGATATAATATACAGTCAGACAATGTATCTGGTTTCATTGCCACACCTTATGTCTACACAGAGAGACAGTGCCCCGACACAGATAGTCACAGGTGCCTCTCTTTGCTTCCCTTGATCCGCTGAGCATCTTTGGCCCAATAGGACTCTCATGCAGGTGAAAAAACAAATCTTTGTTATATTGATTTGCTCCAAGCAACTTCACCTTCCCCAGGATCCAGAAGTGACACTGCAACGTATGTGGAAGATGAGGGTCAAATAGGGAGGGTGCGAAGCAGCACACATATCATCCAAATCACTGACAGCTTCTGGCATCAGTCTTTTTCCCTGAATCAACAAATGCTTCCCTCTCCTGCAAACTACTTTACATGGTTTTGTTAACCTATTCTCTGCACAACAATATATATATATAGATATATAGACTTCTTTATTTATTTATATATATGTATTCATGTCAAATTTTTAATATACTCAAGAAGATACAAAGCTCTTGGTACTTGCTTTTTTTTTCAAGTTTTTAAATTTTTTTTATACAAAAAATGCAATGGTTACTATTACAGTAATATTTTGGGGGAGGTGAGATTGTTGGATACTTCCCCTTTTTAGTTACAAAAGGAATGGCAGGCACTGAAAACCGCAAATGATGTTTGCTAGACTCAAGGATGTGCTTTCCAGTCACACCGTTTCTAGGAGCTTGTTTAAAACTAAATGTGGCAATCAAAGAACAGTGGCAACCAAGTAAAATCAGCAAAAGTCCTCTCAATGCTGATACTGAGACATTTGCTTTCTGTTCTCATCTGCTGCCCTCCCTTGACCAATGCCTGGAGAAAATCAGTGATCTGAAATAATTTAGTTCCCGGCATTTCCAGATACCACATTTGCAGAGTACGTTTTCTTGAGGTAAACATGCCCCTACAGAAGGCAGGCCTTGGCATCCTGGAGGAGAGCTGCTGCACACAGGTGATTTTCATGCCACGTGAAATATGCAATCTCAAAAGCAACGGAACACAGAAACCATGACAATGATTTTAAAATGCCAAACCAGTTCCCTTTGTGGCATTTTTCATCAGGATCTTTAGCCCAAAGAAAACATGGATCCAACACTGAAAAATTTACTATCAAATACAAGTGACAAACCCATCTCAAATTTATAGGTGTTCAAAATGAGACATCCTACAAAAAAGCTCCTATTACCTTCAATGTCTTAACAGCTATGGCAAAAGTAGTTCATCATCATCAATGCAACAATGATACATTTAACATGTAAAAGCTCCTTATTGCAATCTTTGAGAACATGAAAGTAAAAAGCCAGCCAACTCCATTTCCCAGCACGTATTTCTGAACCAGGGACACTGAAACCTTCCATAAACTGCTTTTCAATATGCAGAAATAAAAACAGAGACATTACAGAATTCAAAAGGCAGAAGTATTGTACACCAGATTATAATGATAATATAGCACTGTGATTGATATAGCTTACTCTAAAAGCAGATTATACAGCTTGCATCAATTTTGTCATCCACTCTCCAGTTCATTTAACTAGCATTTAATAGTTTTTGTTCTGCATTTTCTCCCTTCACTGAAATCCAATAAACCCACTCAACAGTCTTGCACCTTCTGTGGGAATAAAAAAGAAAACCTAAACATTTTTCAGAAAGCCTTCAAAAACGTTAAGAGTCACAGTTCAAAAGAAATCCCCCAAAACAAAAACCAAAGCAATGAACCCCAAACCAGAAAAGTGCTATTCTCCTCAAGGCTACACCTACGGTATCATTTCAAATACCCCACAGTTCCTCTCTGGCTGTGAAGCTGCCGCATGATGTGCGCTTCTCCAACTTGGCACCATCCACACGTAAGAGTCACCTAAGAACGCAGCCAGCTACATGGAAGCTTGGATTCTCTTTTCTTGCTCTTCTTGCAGGAGTGGGAGGGAGGGAGGGGGAGGCGGCGGCTGTTTCTGGTGGGAATGTCAGGGAGTTAAGCAGCAGAGTGTCTCGCTGTAAGGCATCGTGCTCCGGGCGATGGCACTCGGGTGGGTTCGCTCCCCACGCCCTCCTGGGACCTGCAGCCCTCCCAGTCTGAATGGCAGTGGTGACTGATGAGATCTCTGGGTCGATTCAATGTTTGTTTCTCCCCCCTCAATTAAAAAAAAATGTGGTTGGACTTTAACCCTGCAAAATAAAGTCAGAACTGATTAATACCAGTCATTAGCATGGCATTGGTGATCTCCATCACCTGTGGTAGGACAGTGACTGGAAATGCCAACCTATGCCAACACATGGGCTCCTTGAAGGGCATGTCTGGGAGAAAATGAGCACAGACTTAAGTTTTTCTAAGTCAGAACCCCCTTGTAGGGCTTCACCTCAGAGCAGAGTGCAGGAGTGAAGGAGGCACCACAGGCACATTGATGTGCCTGAGCCACCATGGCTGATCAGGCAGCGCTGAGCAGCTGTTGGAGGCCAGTGGTGCCAGGACCTGCTCTGTGACAGCACCTCAAAATGCTGAAAATCCTCCTCTAGGCAGGTGCTTCCAACCAGAAACAGAAACCATCTGCTAACACCTTGCATTTCTACTAGATTGAAAGGAAGGAGGGGAAAGACTATCCAGCACCACCCAAAAACATACAGGAATTTTCTCTCCCACTAATGAAAGGGATTTCCATGTACAATTATGGGGGTGGATAACAGTTCATGGTTTGGAATTTGGGCCTTTAAAGTCTCTTGCCCACTCTGATGGGAAAGTTGCTCAGTGCCTTCGTGACAGTCACTGAAATTTTCCTTTAGTCATAGCCAGGGGCAGAACACCTGCTGTTCCAAACACAGCATCCTCTGACAAAGTGCCAGAAGGTATCACCAGGGTAACTCAAGCAAGACAGCAGGACACAGATTAGCAGTGGCAGGAGTGAAGGAAGGCCGGTGACATTACTGAGGAACTTGGCACACGGCAAAGGCAGACAACTAGAACACAACAAAAAGGCACCTTTCTTTAGTGACACACAAAAAAAAAAACCAAAAAAAAAAAGGAAAAAAAAAGAAAAGTGGGAGTTGTGGGTCACTGTTTATTGTGTAACCAATATAATCTCTCCTTGCAAAGTAACTCGTGTACAGTCAGCAGCTTTCCTGCTGTAATTCGTGGGAACCTTAAGGGACATCCAAAAATAGTCAAGGATATGTTTTTTTCTTAAGTCTCAGGCTAATCCTTATAATGAGCATTGAGGGAGAAAAATGGTTGGAATCAGGAACACACTACTCAAATTCATTCCCATGGCCTAACAGCAGAAGTATTTCACATTTCAGCTGACAACTAATCATTCACAATATTAATTTTCTGCCTGGTTATTTGACAGGTTATTTTTAATCACACAGTGGTGTTTGGTTGCGTTTCATTAAAGATACACTGAATAGTACAAACACCACTTTTTTTTTCTTCCAAATACACTTTCATCTATCTGTAAGTTAGCAGTTAGATTTGAAGAGATCCCACAGCTATACAAATCATGCACAAGAGAAAGTTATTCACTAGACCCAATTACCATTAAAAGGACCTACCATGCATGCAAATTAGACCCAAGAGTCAACAGGCTGGGGTTTAATGTCACGGGCATCCACCAGATTCACCGAAGCCCTGTTACTCCTGTTAATGTTTTTCCTATTTGTGTCATTCTGCAGCACAGGGTGAGGAGTTAAAGCAAAACAGAGCGGATTAATCAAACAAAACCACCAAACAAGTCAGCTTAAAGTAGCACAAGGGAAAATTAGTGGTAGAGAAAGAAACAAGATCAGCAAAGGCACAATACTGAAAAAAGCATCTGCAACAGCCAAAAGGCCACACTTCCCTGGATTCCCAGCCTCCCTTGAGCTTTCACACAGCTCACGAGCTACAACCCCCACAGCCACATTTCTGTTTGGCAGCAGAGAGGAAGAGCAGCAGCTGCTCAGCTCTGCCCAGGTGAGGGCAGGGCTGTGCACACCGTTGCTGTGTACAATAGCCTGGATTCAGGCTACCCCCAGGTGCTCAGAACCAAGAGGCAGCACAGGCTGTGGGTCACACACTGTTGAGGTGAAATGTTTTTTCGCTTTTTCTCATAAAAGCAAAGCAGCCACTTGCTTAACTCTGGTTGTGCGTCACTTCGGTCATACACTGGAGTTGGAGCTGCTTGAAGTGATTTTGAGGGTTGCATTGGACCACTTTAATGAATTTTGAGTAGAAAAGATAACAAGTACTTGTTAATTTTCCTACCTTATCCTATTTTCCTTAAAAAGACATTTTTTGCCAAGCTCCTATTGATCAAAATTCTTACATAACTTACTGCATCCATTCCTGCTGCATCCTTGCAAAAATGTACTTGAACTGTAATGAGGGAACTAGGTAGTTTATTTGACTGATACTGGCTCAAGCAAGACCATCTCTTGCCAATTGGAGGAGAGGGACACACTGTAGGACTTCAGTAAGCAGCTTTAAAAAGTCCAGGCAGACTGAAGCCACTTTGCCGGGTGTACCTTCTTGGAAAGGCAGAACACAGCAGGAAATGCCTGACTAGGCAAGTTAAAACAGACAAGCTGGTGCAGTCTTCCTGGTTTACCATCTATGGAAGTATTTTTCTCCAAATCCCATATTTTTTATTTCCCTGTTCAATGATGGTGGGTTTGCCTTTCACCTCACTGAAGTTTAACTGTTTCCCCTCAACATGAATCACCTGGATTTTCTGGTATTATCAACGATGTGCTGAAGGTTATTAAGGACAGCCTTCTGCAGACCAGCAATAGTGTCTCCTACCACTGACTCTTATTTCAATGAACCCTCATTTTCCTTCTCGAAATTACTTCCCCCAGGGAAAACCCAAGCTTGTGTTAAGGCCAAGGAGAACTGGTGGCCACAGCATTAACAGACTTTTTACTCTGAAAAGGTAGAGAAGTGCAACAGGAATTACACAGAGTGTACCGAGCCACATTTGTACACAGCCCATAGTAACAAAAAGCCTTGTAAAGCAAAAATTGTTTTTAATTAGAAAGCAGTCTGAATTTGTACTTAGAAGACACACACATAACTGTGCATGTCTCTTCTTCGCTCTCCATCTCCCTGGCCCATGGTCATGGTCCACCGTCAGGACTGTGAATGAGTGTTGCAGAAATGAATACTATTCACCACACTGCTGGACATGGACACACAAGTTCACACCTATTTCTCATGATGAAGACAATAAAGCAGCATGACAATCTGAAGAGACTTGTCAGAACGAAGTCTGAGCACAGTTACACAGCTCAGGGCCAGGGAATGCTGCCTGGACAAGGGCAACAGAACAAACACCTATCTTTACAACCTCATCCATTTACAAGAGTACAGCAACTAACTGCACTTGCTCCTGCACTGGAAAGCAACATTTTGTTTTTATTTCTAGTTAGCCAAGTGCTAAATTACAAAATAATGCCTTTATGTGAAATAAAAAAAGGCCCTTTATACAGCCCCCTGGGGAGTGACGACCCTGC